ACACAGATGGACGCCCTGCGACCAAACGAGCAGTCCACACAGTGAGCGACAGGGCAGACCAAATGAGATGTGCAGGACGATGTGGCACTCTCTGTGTGTGGCCTGACATACCTGCTGTGGTCGTCCTGGTCACAGTCGGGCGCAGACACGCCCTCCTCCTGCACACTATCGTGTGCCTCCTCGGCAGGGCGAGGGGCACTCTCAAAACACGGGGCAGCAAATGCTACATTCTCGGCCTCCGTCTCCTCCTCTCTACTGGCCGGCTCGTCGCCCTCTCCACTCTGCTGCTGGTGCTGGCTACTCAGCTCGGGGAGCTCTGGTGCTGCTGATGGCATGGGGGCGGCTGTGTTGGCCTTCTCCTCTCTCTCTCCCTCCTCTGTCTTGCTGGCCTGCCCGTGGTGGTCGTCTTCTGTAGTGGGCGGCATGGCTGGAGCAGCCTCGTGGTGGTGGCTGGTGGGCTGCTGGCTGGATGAATCATGCACATGCACATGTACCCCTCCCTCTCCCGGCTGAAGACCGCCGTTAAGCGGCCCAGCACGAACGATTACAGCAGGCCGCCCCGGTCCGCTGGGGTGGATAGGTGGCCGTGGCCGTGGTGCGGCGGACGTCGTGCGGGGAGCCTGCTGGTGCTGCAGTCCCATCAGTGGTGGGGTGGCCGTGGCCGTGTAGATGGGCCGCAGCGGGGCCGGCGCGAGTGCGCAGCCACAAACCCCAAATGGTGGGGGTGGGGAAGGGGGTGGGGATGGGGGTGGGATGCAGCAGGAGGGCCGTCGCGCTGCTGCAGAGCCCGGGGGTGTGCAACGTTCCCCCAGTGAGGTGTGGTCGGCGAGGTGCCTGTCAGCTGGTCGTCGGCCGAGGGATCGCTCGGCCGCTGAGCCTCTTGGCTCTCTGGTCCGCTGACAAGGCAGCACCCGCACTGCCGCAGCGACTCGCCGATCCTCGCGAGTTGCTTCTGCAACCATTGTTCCATAGCACGGGCGGCGTTGACCACAGCCTCACAGGGGGCGCACATCTCAGTTTGCTGGCCCTCAGGGGCGTCGGGCGTGGTGGCGGGGACGGGATAGTAGTGCCGCGACAGCCCCTCGTGGTAGCCATAGGACGCCGGCGGGTTGAGGAGCGGAAGTGCCGGCCGTCCAGGCGGATAGTAATAATGTTGATGACAGGGCATCGGTGCAGGATGCCAGGCGACGTAAGGCGGCGCCATTTCTACTCTCTTTCTCTTCGCGAAGGGAGGCGATCCAGCTCGCACAGTATTTGTGGCCATTTCCCCGCCCCTTGGCTTTGAGGGCACACTTGATGAGCACAAACAGACCGTTCAGAGGACAAATATCACTCAAATGCACTGAGGGGGCGGAGATCTCAATTGACTTTGGTGGTGACGATGGGCTGTCAGGGCGCCTTTGTGTGGCTTTGTGTGGATAATCTATCGGTGTTGAACAGACCAGCGGGTCCGTGGCCGCCCAGCC